ATCCGGCTGAGCCAACCCAATACACAGAGTACACGTTTTTAATGGTGGTGTACATAAATCATCACCTGCCATTTTGAGTCATATTTGATCTTTTTCAATAGCATTAGTATATACAGGTGAATCTCTGCAAATCTTTTTGAAGGTTTAAATCATAGCTTTCAACTTAAGAGGTGTGTTTACATTTGTCCTCTTTGAATCATAACGTTCTGCCAGTGCTTGGAGTTCCAGGTTATGCAAGTGATTTTCTAGTTGCAGGAGTGCTTTCCGGTAACATGTGCTGTCTTTAAGAAGACCAGGACTCTTCCTAGCTTGCAATACAAAACAATCTGTTAAAGTTCCCTTAGGCTAATCAAAAAGGCAAGTCTGCAGAGAGGCTGGGAATTATCAAAATTTTACAATCTCAGTATAACTGAATCTGAGGAATGCTGTCAAAGTTGGTTTTCCTGCCTTAATGTGTCAGAAGGGAATTAAATAACTTGATAATGGTGATGAACACTTTTTTTAGTGCTTTTAAATAATCAAAAAAAGTTAATGATAGCAGGGGAAAATAAAAATGGGACTAAATCCAAAGGCAGTAAGTTCTCAGTGCAGTAACATGATTCTCACAACAGTCCTTAGAAAAAAATTGGAAGCTCATTCGGGATGAGGGGCTTGCTGTGATGGATAAAAAAAGCAGCCTTTTCTTGCCTGAAGATGAGAATCTACGCGAAAAAGGAGACTGGAGCCAGTTTACCCTATGGCAACAAGGTAAAATGTTTTGTATTTCTTCTCTTTCCCCAACTTCACTTTCTCAGCTTACTGTAGTATAAAAAGGAGTAGCAACACGGTCTTTTCCAGAAACATTTTTGTAACCACTGAATCTGCAGAAGAAGGAAACTAAGAAAAGAGTGTCTGGGACCTGTGTGACAGTGAACAAGATTTCTTTATTCTAAACTATGTTATCCCCAAGCACTTTTAACAATCCTTTGAGGGTAATGCTCTTCTGGCAAGGCTGCTAACATTTTGCATGGTAATGCATGGAACAGATCAGCCTGAGGGAAGACGAGAACATAAGAGAAGGGCGCATCCTCAGTATTGTGTTATCACTTAGGTGAGATCTGTCATTCAGAAATGGTATGAGCAAAAAAATATGACTTTAATAAACCTGCTGCCCTGTCCCTCGGCTGTGCAGTAGGAGGCCCAACTATCAGAATGACCTTAAATTCTTATAAGACTCTGCATATGAAAGAGCACTGTAAAATAAAATACTAAAAGCAGCTTATATCAAAAGATAAACTGGTGTTGAAATGGTGTGATGATGCTGGTATTTTTCATCTTTTTTTTTCTATGCATCCTCATTAATGGTTATGCTTTTAGAATAACCTGGTCTTCACAAATAATCTAAAAGTAAAGATGTGCAGGCTGCTCTCATATTGCAGTGTGTGAGTATTTCTGTTTCACAATCTGTAAAATGAAAATAATATTGGCCTGTCTTTCAGTGTCAGCTCTTCAACAGCTTTGTCGCTCTTCTCCAAAGCAGAAAAAAAAAGGAAATGTTTGTTCATTGCTCTTAGCAATGCTCTGTCTGTTGTTTTCACTAGGAAGAAAAAATGAGAATGCTTGTAAAAGTGTTTCGAAAACGTGTGCTTTATTGGAAAGATTCCCGGAAGCTACTGGCTGCAGAAGAGGGCAGGTACCTGGCAAACTTCTTCGTTTTTGCAGATGCCTAGTACTGGGAGCAGGTGGTTTTAAGGAATGTGAATAGAGGGATGCATGACCTTGATCTATTCAATAATGCCTCGAGCACACAATGAATTTAACAGTAAAAGTATGTCCAGTTTTGGCCTTCAGCATATACAAGGTAAAATATATTAGCTGAAGCCCTTCTACGGAATCTTTAGTTTGAGCCATTTTGCCTTGTATTCACTGGGACTGGGAGCTTGTGGTAAGTGAGTAGTTATTTGCCATGGCTCAGCCAATATGTAACAAATTACCAGTGACCTGGTCTGAGTCACAGCTAACTCTGATTTGAGCAGGAGGTTGTATTAGGACCTTTCTAACCTGAGTTTTTCTATAGTTACTCATGTCTGAACTTTCCCAATCTACCTCAGCCTGACTGCGTTATACAGAAAGAAAGTCACCTTATAGAAGCCAAACAACAGCATTGCTGTTACATGCTTCTTTCCTAAAGGTTAAGGAAAGAAATTTTACATCCATAAGCTGTGGCCTCGGGTGCCAGCAAGGTTTGTTTCAAGTGCCTGGTCTACTCAGGTACAAATTGACTTAATTAAAACATGCAGAAGACTTACATGGCATGGATCAATACACGTGCAGCTGAATGAATGGCCCAACATAGATGTCACATGATTCTGTAGGATGGAATTTTTCATTATTCTTTATTTTCTTTCATATTAAAGTTACTATACTTTATCTGTAATGACTACATGAGAACAACCTTCACATTGCAAAATTAAGGATACAAAAGTTGAAAAACACAGTGCTGGCATAATCCTAATTCAAAGCCTTGGGAGCAAGTCTTCAAATTTTTTACCACTCTTGCTTTTGATGTGCAGAAGTGCACTAGACAGCTACTGTTGTGGGAAGGAACAAGGCTATTGTTTCACTTATTTGTTGAAAAGCTGGTTGTAGTAAATATAATTGATAATATAAGCTTGATGTGGCTAAGAGCAAGAAAACTGCTTTCTGTGGTGTCCACCGCCAAAATAGATCTATCCCAGAGAACAAATTTTCTTTGAGAGCTATGGTTTTGTTCATTATTTTTTCACAACCCACACATTATAACCAGGAAATAGTTTGCAAAGGCATTGTGTGTTCACCGCTATACCTGTAGTCATGTGGTTTGAACATATAAAATACAAAATAGTGTGAAAAAATGGTGCTCTAGAGTTCTTTCACATCCAGTATTAGGGGATGCCTAGAACAATTTTAGATATATGCTAGCCATGTCTCAGATTCTTACCGTTAAATTAAAAGTACCACCTGATCTCTCTTCATGTACTGAAAGACTTGGAAGCGGCGGGAACAAACAAAATTGGGAAATCAAGAATTCTGTGGTAGATAGACCCTTTGGATTCTTTGGTCACCTTGTGTATTGACAAAGATAAAAAGAAACGTAAAAAAATTCACAATCTGCTCAGTGCTGCTGAGAGGCTATGTAGAACAATACCAAGTGATCATATTACTAAAAATTATATTGTTTTTAAAAAGGTCAGTAAACTAAAAGTAGCACAGGCAGTTTTAATTCTGGGCATTTCTTAACTTTCTGGAGTTTTACTTTACAACCATAATGTAACTAGTCACTAGTTCATTACTTTATATACACTACTTGAGTAGAGCACATTAATATAATTCACAGACATACCTAGACTGCTCTGTGTGGACAGATAAAATACATGGCAGTAATCCTTCTGTAGTGCTGGTATATTAGCATTTTAAAATGGTATATTAGTAGCTGTCCTGCATAGCCAGTTATTTGCATTGCGTTAGCATCTGACAGGGCAATCAAGTTAATGCATCTCAGTGGAGCAGAGGTGGTGGATTGTTTTAGCATCTATGTTCACTGCAGCCACTGGAGCTTATCGCTTGCTGTCATAAGAAACTGCTGGTAAGCTGAAACTGCAGACGGTGGGAGCGACAAAGGGATTAGACACACTACGCTGTCTTCTGCTGATGTTGTTACAGTTGGAGAGTGCACGACACCTTAAACCCCATGATTTATCAAAGTTACCCTATCCCATGCAGATGTGCAGATTTCTCAGTTGAAAAGATGGTTTTCACCACTGTCATGCATTATTCACACTTCCTAATCATAAGGTTGTTGTAGAATCACAGAAAGTTTGAGATGAGAAGGGACATCTGGAGATTACCTAGTCCAACCCTTTGCTTAAAGCATGGTGAACTAAAGCAGGTTGCTCAGGACTATGTCCAGCCAGATTTTGATGCCTCTCAGGATAGAGACTCTACAGCCTCTCCAGGCAGCCTGTACCAGTGTACTGTAAAAATGTGGGGTTTTATGTTTAAATGGCAATTCCTATATTTCAATCTGTGTCCACTGCCTCTTTGCCTTTCGCTGGATACCACTGAGAAGAGCCTGCTTCTTTCTTCACTTCTTCCGTCAGGTATTTATATACATTGATAACATCTCCTCCTTGAGCTCTCTGTTCTCCAGGCTGAGCAGCCCCAGCTCTCTCAGCTTCCCCTTGTACGCCAGATGATCCAGTCCCATAATCACCTTTATAGCCCTTCACTAGACTTACTCCAGTACGTCCATGTCTGTCTTATAGTAGGTAGCACAGAACTGGACCCAGTACTCAGGATGTCTCACCGACTCTGAGTAGATGGGAAGGGTCACCTCCTTCAACCTGCTGCCAAAGCTTTCCCTAATGCAGTCCTGGAGACTGTTGGTTTTCTTTGCTGCAAGGGCACATTGCTGGTTCATGTTCAAATTGTTATCTCTGAGTACCCTATAGTGTTTTTCTGGGAAGTTGCTTTCCAGACAGTTAACCACCACTTGTATTGGTACCTGGGGTTATTCCTCCCAGTGCAGAACTTTACACATTTCTGTGGAACAGCAGAAGATTCCTGTTTGCTCCTTTTACTAGCCTGTCAAGGTCCCTATGAATGACAGCCAAAAAAATGTAGTATATCAGCCATTCTTCTCCAATTTTCTAACATCTGCAAACTTGCTGAATGGGATGTACTTTGTCCTGTGATCTGAGTCATTTGTGAAGGTATAAAACAATATTGAACCTAGTACTGAGCCCTGGGTACACATCTGATGAGTGGCCTCCAGATGAACTTTATGCCTCTGATCCCAGCTCTTTGAGGCCAGCTGAATTGCCAATTTTCAATCCACCACACTGTCAGCTTACCTAGTTTCTATTGCATCGGTTTGTCAGTGAGGATATTTTTGGCTAACAGTGTTGAAAGTCTTACTAAAGTTCAGATAAACAATATCCACCAATTGCCCCTCATCCACCAAGTTAGACATCTCACCATACGAAAGTGGTAATGCACAACGTTCCACTTCCTAAATTCGTGCTGAGTGCTCCCAGGCATCTTCTTTTCCTTCATGTGTTTGGAGGTGGTTTCCAAGATTATTTTACTCCATCACCTTCACACAGAGATCGAAGTGATTCTGACTTGGCATATAGTGCCTCAGATCCTCCTCCTTGGCCTTCTTGAAGATAAAAACAGCATTTACTTTCTACCAGTCCTCAGGGACTTCTGCTTGTTGTCGTGACCTTTCAGAGATTATTGAGTGTGGATTCACGGCATCATCCAGCTTCTTCAGCACTCAGGGGTCGATTCCATCAGGCACTGTGGACTAGTTTGTTGATTTTGTTTAAGTGTTTCCGAACCTGATCCTTCTCTGCTGAAGGTACGTTGCCTTTGCTCCAGTCTTTCTACTTGTCTCTGGTGCCTGGGATTACTGAAGGTCGGTCATACCAGTAAGGACTAAGCAAGAAAGGCCTCAGCCTTTTCCATGTATTTTGTCATCAGATCTCCTGCCACATTTAGCAGCAGGCCCATGCTTGCCCTAGATTTCTTGATGTATTTGTGGAAACTATCTCCAGCTTCAACACCAGGAGAGATTTGATTTCCCTAACCTCATCCCCACATGCTTAGAGTGTCCCTACAGTTTTCCTGGGTGAACTGGCCCTGCTTCCACCTTCTGTATGCTTCCTTTTTGTGTTTCAACTTTGTCTGTGTCACCATGGGATGAACCATTCCTGAGTTTGGGCGAGGAGATACTTATAAATCAACCAGCTGTCGTAGACCACTCTTCTCTCCAGCACTGTATCTCATGGGATTTTTCCCAGCAGATCCCTGCAAGTCTGCTCTCCTGAAGCTGTGGGTAATAATCCTGCTTTTTGCCTTTCTCCCTCTGCTCATGATCCTAACTACACTACCTCATAGTTGCTCCAGCCAAGGCTGCCAGTGACCTTCACAGCCATGCTGTCATCTGAGAGAGGCCAGTCAGTCCAGCTAAAACAGGTCTTGTATCTCCCGTGGTCCATCCTTTTAAATGATAAGAGTGTTTGTAAGTCTTTCCATAGGGAAGATCGTATTTTTATGATTGTAGGTAGGTGAAAATTGTTTTCAGGTTGAATGGTGAATTCTGGTTGCTATAAACAACATAAAAAAATGTGCTTTTGCACACATATACTCACCCTGTAGGACATGTTTTTTGTAGTACTGAACACCTTTAGGACATGAGAAAGAGCTATTGGTGCTGAGACTCAAACAAAAGGGGACGTTGCACTTTTGGCCCATAGTCAAGGACGAGACATAATGAAGTCCTGAACTCCTAGAAGTAAGGTTGTGAAGCTGAACGTGTTGAAGGCTTGCCTTTCTCTTCTTGTAGATCAAATATTCCATCATGCACCCAGGGACTCATGTCTGGCCCCACACAGGGCCCACCAATTGTCGGCTAAGGATGCACTTGGGCTTGGTGATACCTAAGGAAGGCTGCAGAATTCGGTGTGCCCAAGAGAACAGGTATGGAGGGGAGGGGTTGGGGCTGGGTATTTTTTTTTTTTTTCCTACCTTCCTCAAGGCTGAAAAAGGAGTAGGACTGCATATAATAATTTATTTTTTTAAAAAAAAAGAGAAGTGTTTTACTGATCCAGAGGTGTAACACATTTCATTAAACAGGGAATTTTCACCCTAACTCTTGATAAAAACACGTACATACCTGATCTCAAAAAATGCGAGAAGAATCTCTGGAGACAAAGCTGCACTTTGCTATGGTGTGGAAATAACAGTGGGTTTAGTCCACAGAGTCTGTGTTTCCTTCTAGAATGCCAGTCTAATCTAGTTGCCAACAGAGTTCCTGTGTTTTGATTTTAGAACTCATTGCTTGTTCAGCAAAAGCTAAGACTAAGACATAACCTCCATTTTCACCATCGTGACAGAGTACTCTCATATTTCTGGCAGAAGCTTCCGCCCTAGCTGGTATTACTTGTGCAGTTAAAAATATTCCAGTTGAAGTTGATTTCAAGGTGAAGACATTTATGAAGTGTTTGGCCCAATTTGTTACACAGATTGCAAATTTCTTTGAAGTGCATTTTAAGTAAGAATTCTTGGCCCCTTTGCTGACTTAAAGAGCAGTTTTGTCTTTATTGGCTTGGAGAAAAAACAAAACAAAAGAAAAAGCAGTAGCTTATACATTTACAGTCAGGGCATATACTTCCCTGGAAAATATGAGAAAATGTGGTAGTTTTTTGTACAGTATTATTAAACACAGACAGAAAAATGTGTTATTAACTGTATTGCCTTTTTCTTACAGACTTAGTTTTCTGAGACTTATGTGAAATTCTAATGATGCTTAATAGGTGTATGTATATTTCTGGAAGATTCTGTGTCTAGTTTGCAGCATGTTGAGTGCAACAAGCATTAATTTTTAATTATTTTCATGGTAGTAATTTACACATATATTTGATATTGAGAAATGAAACGCCACTCATCTACATGTCTGAAATAGCAAAGATATTTTTCATTAACACTTGAAAACAACTACAACAAGAAATGTTTAGGATTTTTGAGGAGCATCCAACTGTTAACGTGTGAATGAAGTGGTGGTTTTGACCTGCTGCTGAGAGAGCGGGTATCCAGCATTATGGCTGGCAACCTTCTTTGCCTTAAATCAAACAGAAGGAATAGTCCCATGGAAAACGAGCTCAGCTCCCTCCTTGTAACTACGCTCCCTCAAAGCCAGGAGTGGAGAAATGCCTGTTGCTGCTGGTGTTGTGCAGACAGAGCACTCCAGTGTCCAGGCTCCTGAACCTGGCTCAGCCTTATACATCCAACTCACTCATCTGAAATGCAAAACCTTTAGGAGCTGAGTACAGCTTGTGCTGCAGTGTGTTAACTTCAGTTGCTTTTGGCAAGACCTGTACATCCAGAGTCAGAGGATTTTCCCTGAATGCATTGAAAGTGTGTCTACTGCTGGCCACGAAAAGTGTGGGTTTTTACATCCCTTTCCCCTTGAGGGAGGAGGTGGATGAACTGCTGTGGGAGGGAATGCTACCAAGAGAAACTCCTACCTTGGGCATTCTCTGTTCCTCCCCTCCTGGTGATTCAGAGCAGTGGTAAACTGGTGGTTTCAAATAGGAGAGCTGGCTCAAATGTGAAAGTTAACATAGGTCAGGCCTTCTCTGGCCCAGTCCCACTGCTGTGAGTATGAGAACACAGAAACTATGAGAATTCTGTGCGTGGTTACCCCTGTGCCACCCAGTGTGGGTGTTCAGAGGGACAACGTTGCAATACAACTCATAGACGGGCAACTCGTCTCTGTCTAGCACTGTGTTTTATTCCTTCACTTGGACAAAAATCTTTCGGCAGCTGCTGGGAGCTGATGCACCTTGTTGTTATTCAGTACCGCTATAGTAATTTTAGGTTGTTAGGCCATTTTAAAGTCCCAACTCTGTAAAGTGTAGGGTTCGATGGTGGGTAAATAAGATCTAGTTATCAAAACTGAACGTCTCTGTCAGACGAGGTAATCATGTTTTGAAACAAAGGCGCAAAGTTACCGCCTTATGCTGAAGCCAGTCCAATATCTCACCTGTAACAGGTGACAATAAAGCTTTGCAGGTGATGTAGAAACTACCCCAAAGTGGCTCAGCACAAAATCAGAGTAATATGGTCCCCCTATGGTCCCCTACGAGGTTTTTCTCACTGTAAAAGCTTCTGGAAAATATTTTTTTGCATGCTAATGGTGGGGTTTGTAATCTATTCAAAAGGGGCTAATAGTTCTGTCAACTTTATGACTTTTTCTTTGTTGTGCAAAACAGCCCATCCCTTTATGATGCAAATGGTGGATCCTGGGTTTTAACCTCTGAAGCACTTTATCTGGGAGCCTGGAGGTTTTATTGTTCTTAACTGAGCTGCACTTTCAGGCTATTTAGGGCAGGATTTTTCAGGCTTGGTTTAACTGGAAAAAAAAAATAAAATAAAACAAACCAAAACCAAAGCCAACAATGACAACAAACTCCCTCCCACTAACAATACAAAACATTACAGAAATATAAACAAACAAAAAACACAAAAAAAGTACTGCTATTCTATACCTCATAAAATTGACAGAAGCATTGATTCTTCTGACAGTATCTTCCTTCTACGTTGCCTCTTGCTGTTGTTTTTAAATCTGGTAATTTTGTTCATTTTTTTAATGATGGAGGTGCTCAGAACCAAGGCACTTTGAATAAATTGTGTGTATCCTTTTTTGTGCCTATCAAAGGTACAGATCTTGGAAAAGTACTGCTCTTAAAACTTGGCTTTTCCATGCTGTAGTGAACACTCACCCTGGGTATTTACATCAGTTCAGTGATCTGCTCTGCATAAGCAATACTTGACAAAAAGTGCTGTTTTAAATTATGTGGCCTTGTCCTTCCAGTTCAGTTTCAGCAGTACAATCAACCCAATGTACACTATGGCATTGCAGCCTTCTATTCCAGAAAAAATCTTTAGACTCAGTGCTCTGAATGCATTCATGGGACGAGACTGTTAACATTCCTGAAAGTTTAAGCATGATCAGCACCTAATTCTGTTGTTGCGATTTTTAGAAAAAGCAGATTGATTTAATTTAATATGCTTTCAAACTGTATGACCGGTCACTCCCTCAGTTTCCATCACTCATTATGCATGTATCTAATTAGAAAAGGAGAAAAGTTGATTACTATACCAGTTTTATACCTCCTCCCCTGCTTATTGGACTCAACTCATTAAAGGTATATAAACAAAAAATATTATAAATGTCTGAATGTGTATGTGGGCATAACTATGCAGAGTAAGGGGAAACAATCCCTCAATCATATGAAGATCCATTAGACTGATCTTTTTTGTCTGTATTTTATTCAATCACTGGCGCAGGTTGCCCAGAGAGGTGATGGAAGCCCCATCCCTGGAAGTTTTTAAGGCCAGGCTGGATGGGGCTCTGAGCAGCCTGATCCAGTGGGAGATGTCCCTGCCCATGGCAGGGGTGCTGGAACTAGATGATCTTTAAGGTCCCTTCCAGCCTTGACAATTCTATGATTCTATAATACTCCAATCTTTTTGTAATAGGTAGGGAAATACTGACTGTGCAACATAAAATGTTTAAATAGTTCTCATATGTCGAAGAGTATCTCCAGTGCTGATATATAGCTTGCCTGCCCCCCATAGTGCACTAAACCTTGCTCTTTTTTGTGTTGTAGGACCTGGGAAGAAGGAAAAGTTCTTATTTTTGATGACTCATTTGAGCATGAAGTATGGCAGGATGCTGAAAATTATCGCCTGATATTCATTGTGGATGTGTGGCACCCGGAGTTAACAGCACAACAGAGACGCACTCTTCCTGCTATTTAAGGAGTTCCTTCTGATGGGCAGAGCAGAGGAGCTTTAATTGGAGTATGCAGATAGGATTAATGTATCCAGCATATGAAGGGTACAAGTTTTGATAGGATTAGAAGAGATAAGGGTGACATACTGCAATCACAGAGGACTTGATTTTAAAAAAAATGAGAAAAGAAAGAATTTTTTTAAAAGCGCCATATTTTGTTTCATCCTGATATAGCACTGATATATATTGTTTTTCTGGCTGCAAGTTTGAAAATACAAACCTTTGTCAGCTGAAGAGCAATAGGTCTGGATTTTCAAACTGAGGAATGTGCAGATGTTTTTGCCATGCCTGTATTATGTGTACAAAACCAGTCAGTCAGTCACTGGCCTGGCCATATTCAGGCACAAGATTTGTGATTTTGTCTGGAAAATGCTTCCCAGACTTTTTTTCTGGGAAGCAATATGTAAGATATTTAAAAACATGTGCACACAACTAACTTTGAAAATCAATATGCGATTGTAATGTTAGCTGCTTTAGACATAGAACATGTCCCTGTATTATCAACTGTAGATAATGTGAATGGTTTATGTGTGTTTTATATTTTTTTGTACCTGAGTAACTGTATTTTTCTAGCATAATTAGGAACAAATCTCCCTTAATCAACCACTATTTTTTAAAAAACCAATATATATATAGCTGCCTCTCTATCAACAGAAGGAAAACAGTATATATGAAAAAAAATTCCTTTTTGCCAAGCGTGGCCTTCTCTTGCCTTCCTGGAAATGCAAACAGAAACTTGCATAATCACCTGCTTAGTGAACCTTTGTTCTTCTAAAACAAGACAATTCTCTTAGCAGGCAACCTTCAGTTTGATAATGTGATTTTGGAAGATGTTGAGCAAATGGGGCATCTGTAGGCTCAGATCTTAAAGTGCTGAACAGTTCTTACGATTATGCGGTGAACTGCTGCTTTTTCTTATCGTTACAAAAACTTGTGTTGCGATACCTGTTTTCTACCCAGCAAGCGGGCATCTCCTTCCAGGGGCTCCTTCTAGCCTGCCCTTGGGTGGTCATTCAGCAGAAAAAGATATATGAAGAACAACTTCTGCTTTGGGCAGAAGGACAAAGTCTAACTTGGTTGCCTGCCAGCAAGCAGAGCAGGCAAAGAGCTTCAGGTTATTAACTTGTATTAACTTTTGCTGCCAGAATGCTAGAATGATCCTTTAATTTACCTAATGAGTTTTTTCTTGTCTTGAAATGTATGACATAATGCTGAAGTAGTCCTTATCCCAGTATTGTTTACAATATGCTCTATATTTGCCATAAAGAATTTACTATATGGTAAAAAAAGACCTGTTTTGCAGAAAGAAAACTGGTGGGATGTTTAAGCAATTGACCAGTCTTTTGGGTCTGCACTGTTTAATAGGAGATAGAGGGTGCGGGACCCTCTACTATTAACTTCTAAGAACACTAATAGGAGAGAGAGACCCGAGGATGCACTTCTGATGTTTACGGCTGCCTGTTATCTACTCGCCCATGAAATTGAGTGGGTGTGGGTAGGTGTGCTGGGATGCTCTGGGCTTGTCAGAAGCAGCGACGTCGTTACCGAGGGTTGTGAGAGACAAACACTAAGAAGGGATATGCTGAGGTTACTTGGTCTCCACACTTTGACTTTGTTGGCCAAAAGACACTGGACAGTCGTCCTACTTGTTTAATGCTCAGCGGTTTTGTACTGCAGAGGCTACATCATGGTACCTAAGTATCGTGACTAGAATGCTGCATTTGCTGAAGCAAAATACAGATGAGCTTTGCATTCCTATAAACTGAATGCTTTTCAGATTCTGTATTTTACTAGGTAATTAAATCTTGCAACACCATGTAACACCTGGTGATTGCACCACAAATTAGTGTAACCAGTTTCTGGAGGTGTGCACTTTAATTTCGTTTTTGACTATTAAACTGATAAACCTGCTCTGATCAAGAGTGAGTTTTAGACAGCTGTAATAATTAGGCTTTAATATGTTGTCTCTATCAAAACACCATATACAAGGAAGTAACAGTTCTCAGTTAATCATCATAAAAGCTGAAAAGGTTTAAAAGTTTAATGCTTAAGAAAATATAAAAATACTTTTGGAGAGCTTTAAGAGAATCATGTGCAAAACTGGAAATAAGGTACTTGCTGTGGGGGGGTAAAATACTAAAAAAATACTAAAAAAAAATTGTAAATCTCCTGATAGTTGTTTAGTAAGAGGCTGTATTTTGTATCTTTGTAAAGTGATCAAGCAGTACAAATTATAAACTATTTTGTAGTTCTCTAAAACAAAAACATAGTTTTTAAAGAAGAAATCAAGAACTGTTTAAACCAAAATTTGTGGCTTAGGAATATTTTTATTAATGCTGCATTTTCATTTTTATAACTCAGAGTAAATACTACAGGAATGGTAAAAGCTTTGGAGCTTTATGTACAAAAATGTGTGCCATCCTTCAGATTGTTTCATTGTTCCTTTGAAGGCTTATACTTTATCTTTTCCAACTGAAATTGGCAAATAGATAAAAGTAATCTACCCAAGATATGTACGTGTTGGAGTCGCACTGTTTATTAAATTGCGTAGTGATATATTGACCATTTAAAATCTTAAGTGCCTTGAATATAGAAAGGTGTATTATGGGTAGCTCCTGTGACACTGAAGTGAATTTACTCAATGCTGGCCTGTGAAAGAGCTGAGAGCATATCTTGTTAGGTACAGTTACATGGGGAGGATATATATGTATATAGCAAACTACAGAAATTATGCAGTGAATAAGTGGTGTATTATTTTAGGTATTCCTGTTTGCCAACTGATTCTTTCATCTTGAGAAAGCTTTCTTGACATTGGAAATACTGATGGGAGAAGTGAATGGAAGTGCTTTTTAAATAGAGAACCATTGCAATTGAATTATTTTTTTTCTTTAGATTTATTTACAGAGAGAAATGACAGACAAGGGCAATACAGTGTCCTGTTTGTAAGGCAGTATGTACTCATCAAAATGTTAGGAGGTGGATTCCTCTCTGCCTGTGTTTACCTTGCTTGCAAGCACAGAGTCTCTGCAAGATCCAACAGTTAAATACAGTCATCATGGAGTTATATATAGGGCATCATATGTATGTATTCATGTCACAGCTAAAGAAACTAAATAAAAATAATCCTCTGTGAGGTTTAATCCTCAAGGACTAGATTTCAGTGATATTTGCACTTCGTGGGCAGAGCAAGTCCCACTTGAATGATCTGTGACTGTAACTGGTTATCAAAAATATTCAGTGGCAGTGAAGTGTGTTAAAAGAGAAAAATCACAAACCAAAATATTTTTTCATGAATGCTGCAGTATAATAGCCAATGTCTGTCTTTGTCTGTTTCTTTACTTTACGCTTTAAGCAAGTTCTCTGTGGCAAATCCAGGTGCCTGTGAGCCTTCATGAGCCCGTGGAAGGGACCTGTCTCCTGTTACCAGGGACTGACATCCCAGTTTTCTGTAACAGGTGGTAATGTCAGGGGAGGGGAATGGAAGAAACCCCAAAGATAAATGGACTCAGTCGTCTTATTTGTTTCATGTTCCTGAAAGCTTCTGCTGCTTTTTCTGATTCCTGTGTTGCCTGGCTGGGACCATCCACTGCCTTAATGACTGGCTCTCTGTCACAGAGACCGGGCTTTGTATCAATGACAGGCTGCTGCAGAAGGTTAGTCTGAGTGAGCCTATTCTGTGCAAATACTAGTGGATAAATCCCAGGTGCATTGATCAGATCTGGCAGGATGTCCCTTCTGCTCTGTGCAGGCATAAAATGTTGTGGTAGATAAAAGGCAGCATTGTGTTAGCCCATCTATTAGAGCTGACCATATCCAGTTGAACTATACCGTCACTTATGAATTCAGTGGATGTTCCAGAAGCACATTAAAAACTCTTGTGCCCGTTATCATCTCATTTTATATATATGGTTTACACTGCTACCTTTGATATGTTGTTGCCAACCACTTGTTCTATTAAATTGTCAATGTATGGCAATTTAATTGAAGACTTAAGATGTGTACAGTGGTTGTAACGATTTTAGGAAATAAAGTCACTGCATATGCAATTTGATAACAATTTTTCTTTTATTTCTTTAATCTGGTTTCCATTTCAGTGAAGGGATGGGACTCTCTTTGCAGCAAGAGCAAATAGAGAAATAACAAACTGATCTTTGGCATTTCAGTTCCTCTATTTTTCCACATTTCCTTTCCAGCAGAAGCTTGTGCTGAGTAATTAATTCTAAGTTTTCCATTTTAACCATGGCCCGCATCCGCAATCGGCATACCCTTCTGGCTACACCTTTCACTGACTGCAGGAAGGAAGGGGGTAAATGGCTCTGCAGAGCTTTCATTTGCTGTTGTGACCTAAATGAAACAATCTGGATTGAACCATTAATAGCTGGTGAATGTGTCCAATGGGTCTCCCTAGCACCCCCAGCGCACACGCACACACACATGCACACCCACATGTCTAATATGCTCCTGAGTTGCCTGTGGAAAAACACATTGTTAAAATTAAATAATTGCATTTTGAATCGTGTGCGTCTGCTGCCCATACAGCTCATGCCACTTAGCTGAGTTTTACAAGGGCTTCAAAAGTTAAGAATAGTTTTTGCTCAACACCAAAACATGACCTCCTGTAAGCAGTATGGATGACACAGTCACAAAATGTCATGTAGGATGGCATGATGCTGGCACTGTTTTTTTTTTATTTTTTAATGTAAAATCCTTCTGTAAAGCTTGAGCACTCTCTGGATGCTGCTTTTTCTTCCCTCTGAGCCAGACTGAACTGCTGATTACAGTGCAAAGTTTACATTTGAGATGCTTTTCGTTAAAGCGCACTTAACCTTCACTTCTATAAAATTGAGCGTGCCTGCTGGAGTCTTCAGGAAAACTACTGGCACAACCTGGTTTCTTTAAACAGAGAATGCAGTCCCATTATTTCCGATACTTAATGTCCTAAGTCAGAGGAAAAAAAAAAAAAGAAGAAATTATTTGTATATGGACAGACTCCTGAGTCAACAGAAATCTCTCAGTTTTCGTTCAGCATCGGCCACACAGACAGATGGCTGGTGAGAAACATGAAGGACTTGTTCTCAAGCAAAACGTGTGTGTGTGTGTGTGCAGTGTGCTCTGTGGGTTTCTGTTAATGTATCTGTGTGTGCTGGGCATGTGGGAACTCAGTCCAGAGCCAGCAGTGGTTGGGTGTTCTCGCTTTCCCCGTGGTCTTCATGTTTCAGAGTGCCGGCTTCCACCACGGACTGGGACCTGAAAGCAAGAAGACAAGCATGCCAGTGACAGCTGCTGTGGAAGCACTCACCATCCTGGAGTCCCTTTGCTTCATTTTAGGATTTTTGGTTTTGTCCATTTTCATCTTTATGGCTTTTCAGTTTTTTTCTGTGGAACGCTAAGGTATTTGAGGAGCGTTCCTTTATGTCCGAGCAGGGCTATGACTCACTGAAGATCTCAAATCCTTTCAGAATATTTCGTGCTTGGCTGCTATCCGTAATGCCGAACACACTCAGCAATTTGAAGGCCTAATCCTGAGATACCATGAAATCTGCTGGTGCTCAAGGTCTTCCTAGGCAAAGCTGCCTATGCAGTTGCTTACTGGAAAGCAAAGTTATTTGTACAAGTGCTTGCAGGAGTGAGTCTCAGCTCATGCTTGTTACGAATCTTGAGAAAGACAAGTAGATAAATCACATTTCACTAATGTAGAGGTTTAAGGGGCAGAACTTCCACAAGTTACCCAAGATCGATGAAGAAGACAGAATGAATATGATAACAAGGGAACTTCTGGTATGCCTAGTCCTGCAATTTATCTCCTTGTCTATACCTTTGAAGAAGAACTTTATTTAGGGCTCATCCATTTTATATTAGTTTTGGTCTTCAAGGTGGGAAGCATAGTTTACACTTTGCTGCTAATGGACCAAAAAAAAAAAAAGCCCAACATGTAAAAAATGATAAAGTGGATAATTGTGATTTCTTGCAGGGACGAAAGTTGAATGTGCTTAAACTAATGGAAAAATTCAAGACCATTTTATTTTCTGAGATCTGTGTGCTCCAGTGTTTGTTTACTGAGGATGAACTGATGAGTTTATTGTTACAGAGATTTGTTATTCTCCATGTTCTTTATTTTGGACTAGGAGTTGCCTCCCATTTTGGAGCAGGCAGTGAGTTTTAGAGCAAAATCACTGTGTGAATCAGGAACTTTTTAAAAGGGAAGTTTTTCAAAGGTAGGGGATAGAGTCACTTAGGCTAGGTATTTGCATAATGCATTGTATGGTTTTGAAGAGCCAGTTTTCTCATGCATAACTTTTAGAAGTAGGGGTAACTAATTCTCTACAAGATATGTTTGTAGTTCTCAGTTGTTTATTATGGTAAAGTCAGTTTAAGCCTTAGCTATTTCATGAGATTAGATAGCACTTTTCTTTTGATAAGAATTGGTAATAAATTGCATCCTTTGGTACCACAGCACTTCATCAGGCCTGAATACCATGACTGTGAATAACTTGTACAATTATTTTTCTTATTCTTATGCCTGGAGCTTTCATTAAAGCATAATAAAAAATTTGCATTAAAAAAAATCTCCAAAGAGAGATAACAAAAACTAGATGTTCAATGAGAATATTTTAAGCCAAAATTTTCAAAGAAAATATGTTTGCCCAAACATTTTCACGGTGTATTTTTTACAATAATGTGACAAGCATAATGTTTATCTCTGCATTTTAATATAGAAAAGCTGCTGATTCAGGAGATTATGGCAATTTACATATTCCTAGTATGTGGCAGCAAAAACTAAGCATGTGGTTTTGAAACTGATAAAGAATGGATTCAAATCACAACATCAACAGATTTTTATTTTCTTTTCTGGACTACTAGATTAAATTATTACTAAATAAAACTCACAATTGTGCCTTCTGCGATCAGTGCTAATTATCCCTGCTCTCATCTCATTACAGAAAAAAAATAATTCTTGCATCTGTAAAAGCAAGATACCGATTTCTCCGCTGTACTGGTGCTCAGATGCATGCCAGGTTGGCAGCAGCATAATCCCAGAATCTGTGTGCAGGTCCCATACTGCTCCTCTTCACACAAAGCCAAAATAGCTGTAGCATTGGATAAATGCATTGCAGCCCACCTGACCTCCAAATTCATGCCAAACGATTCAAATGCTATGCCCAGCCCTTCTGAACAACATCAAGAGGGATCCAGCTGAGATTTTAGGATCTGCCAAGCTCTGCAACAGAAATCTCTTTTCCTTTTCTGTTAGAAGCTGCTTAGCCCCCTATCCTAAAATAAAAGCAGTTCAGACATCTATCTGAAGGACGCAGTAGTGTTTTGAACAATCATTATTATTTTCCAAGACACCACAAAAAAGGACTTGCTGTTGTGTTTGGATTTCTGTTTTCCAAATGCATCAGTTTGCTGAAAAATGTTTCCAGTGTTGTTTTTGTCTTAAATTTTATGTAGGAAAAAAAAGACAATTACTCAATTTTCAGGAAGGTTCTAAAATACTTTTTTCATATTCTTCATTTTTTGGTAAATATAAAAAATGTTAATACTCAGAAAAGCGTTTTGCCAATATATGTCAATGCAGCTCACAATCTAATGTAATAACACAGTGTGAGAGATATGTTTTAGTGGCCTAGAACATTCTGGAATATATATTCTATAGCTATACTTTACTTAATAACACAGAAGAGGTGATTTGCAGTAGGCCACTTATTCAGCTGACCGGTAAGTCTATTTTACCACTGTAGAAATTAAATTTGAAAGAATGCACCTGTGGTTTCATCTTTTATGTATCACAATGTTCAGTTCAAGGAAAGCAGTAATATTCTGGATATTTGCAAATTTACGTAATATTTACGGGGGTTTGTATGCTCACTCTAGTATTGAACCTAGGGCTAAGCCTAGACTGCTACCTTTTTTATCTGCATTAACATTTTCTACAGAGGATTTCACAATCACATTTCACATTTTTTAGTAGAATCTGATCATGGTCCTTGAAAGTGTTTGGATGTCTAACTTCACTTAATCTCCTATTGAAAAATAAATTGCAGTCAGGCACTAAAGTACTTTTGCCCTGACTAGACCTTGTAATTTGCAGCCACCTTTTTATTAGAAACACCAAAACACTCTCATGCATGACAGTTTAAACCGTTGTGATGTAAAATGATAAATGAGCAGTACAGAACTTTCCTTGTTTGGCAGCCTCAATTTAAGTCTTGGCCCTGTAAATGCTGTGGATGTTGTTCTGTCCCTGCCTTATGGCAAGCAGAAGTTCATGGCACCAGACAAAAATATTTTATTTCTGCTGCCTTGGCATATCAGTGTGTACAAATACTCAATGGAGCGGAGCACAGAACATGAAGCCAGACTCTTCTCGGTGATACCCAGTGACAGGAAAGAGGCAACAGGCACAAACTGAAATACTGGAATTTCCATTTCAACGTCAGAATAAATGATTTTAGTGAGGGAGTGTACAGATGGACAAACATTGGAACAAGTTGCCCAGAGAGGTTGTGGAGTCTAGAGATATTCAAAATCCAGCTGAACACCATCCTGAGAAACCTGCTCTGATAGAAGATCTCTGGAGGTCCCTTCCTCAACCTCTGTGATTCTATGCCCACAGAAATGCCAGCTTCTTCTGCGGGTTGAATGCAACCATTTTGTAATGTTCAAGTTGTATCCAAGTCTTTTTGACCTCTGCCAGATATGAACTAATAAGCAGGAAATAATCATTTGCCTTCTCCTCATATCACTACTTTTTAGTCACTTGTGTTGTGATTTGTCTCACCATCAGGCATCTATGGTCACTCTGTGCTATAAGTGGTACAGAGAAATAAATGTTCTCAGGGTGCAATTCATCTGAGCTGTTCTAAACATAGGGTCATATCATATGATTCATGAGTTACCTACATTCAGGTCTCTGCCTCTTCTGGTGAGTTCTCATCTGTTAACACCAGGAGGAACAGGTTCCATGATTTACGAGGCAATGTTTCCTACATAGCATAGCCGTGACTGCCTCACACTATATATATTACCTTCTATACTCACCTGCAATGTGGCCCATATCCTGTGTGTGCTGCAACTTTGGAATTATAAATAAGTCTATTTGAACTCATTATCTTCTGGGTTTCCTCCTTTATCTGCTAAAGATACTCAGTAGCAAGTTTGGAAGATGCCTGGCTGTGGACGATCTGGTTAAGTTTTAACACAAGTAGACAATTTTTTGTATTACACAGATAGAATCATTGTGTAAGGCCCTGAGCTGGCAAACCCTGTGTCTGTCCTTCTTTAACAGGATATATGCAGGAGGCTTAGCTTCTGTGAAAGTATGATGAGATCACCATGGGCTGGGAGCTAAGTCCAAAGTAATTAACAGAAAAATCAATGCCCATAGACTTTTCTAGCCTAGTTTCCAAGGCTAGGTAACCTTGCATAGGAGAGTAAAATGAAAATGGAAAGAAATGAATTCTCAGTTTCACTTCTGAAGCCTAGGTACCATTTGAGTGTGCTCCATTTAAAGCATCAATCAAATCCCCCATGGTTGTTTTACTGTTCAGCAAGAATATTTGGAAGTCTGGAAAATCAACACTACCCAGCTGTTTCTCCAGCAGGTCAGTCATTTGTTTCAAATGACAGCACTGCATAGGTATGTACATCAATATCTAAGAGAGCAGATGGCTTTATGTGTGTGGTCATTTTAATGCAACTATCTCAAATTCAGTCGAAAAACATGTAAAAAGACTGGATGTGGGCCTTCTGGCTGCACTGGTTTCAGAAGGCTCTTGTTAAGAGTACAGCTGGAGTGAATCAGCTCAGAGGAACTGGTGTCTGTTGGGTGTCAATTTTGTTTCCTATGAAAACAAAATACCAAAATCCTGCCCTGAGCTAACAGTAACTGCCAGCGTATCATGGCGTGCTTGCCTTAAAAGACGTCTTCCAGTTCTCTGATCCCTCATTTTAGGCTTTTCATCACAGCAGCGATGATGTCCTGCAGCCCACAGGAGTGAGGATGTACTACATTTGTGCTGAGCTTCCTCTGGGGGACTTTGTGGAGGAAGGAGCAGGGTTGCATGGTTTTTTCCCCAAGGGCAGTAGGCTTCAAGCTCTCAGAGTGACACACTGCAGCCAGTCAATCCGATCACATTGCGTGACTCTATTCATCTACCTCTCACCTCCCATCTGTTCATTTCCCTCTAATTCCATTCACATTTCACCAGCACCTCAGGGCTGACCATCTCACAATTATTCATTCC